CCAGTGAGACGGAGGACAGCTTCCTAGATGTAGGGTGTATGTTTATGAGTCTGATGCATATTCTGAGTCGTCCTCAGTCAGGGTCGTGGGCTACACTTGAACCTGTATCTCCTTGCATGCACCTTCCTTCCCTCAGAGCCAAGATGCCAGCTGTCACTTCTGTTGTGACTGTGCTGCCTCGAGCTGTCCTTCCCCTTTTCTACCTTTTAACTCTAAATATGTTGTAAGTGAAATATGTTGTCTAAGTAGCCAAGCTGTTCTAAGAGTGTATGGTTCAGAGCATTGTAAAGCACTCATTCATTTCTTCAAGTATTTATGGAATACCCACTATGCTTACCGTTCTAGGCACTGGGGACACAGTCTCTGCCTTGTGAATGCTCATATCCCAATGGAGGGAGAAAGACCATAAACACACAAATCAGTGGCTTCTAGATAAATGAATGGTTACTGGACTTTATTTTTTGTTTTAGGGTTAAAATCAGATGACTAGCATACTGCCAAATCACATCATAGGTTAGCCTCCCTCCAGAGCCCCCTGGCTTTGTATTTGGGGAAAGGGAAGGACAGAATATGGATAGGGATCACCTCTTCTAAGGAGTGATGAGTAGACAGTTTATGGTAGGGTTTTTATTTTTTAATAACTGTGAATAAAAATAGTGCTACAAGCACAGGCCAGAGTATCCAGAGATCTGAGTTCTGGCTCTAGTTCTACCACAAAATGACTGCAGATAAGTCACTTAAGGTCTCTGGATTCAAAATTTTTTTTCCTATTAAGTATAGGTAATGGATTAATTCAGCATTTCTCAAAATGTGTTCCGTGGAGCATTAACAAGTTCTGTGCTTGTTAATAGGTGTTACTCGAAAAGAGGACTCAAGTGAGGGCCATAGCTGGGCCAGCGCTGTAGCCAGAACAGGGCCCCTTGGGAGAACGCAGCCCTGGGAGCTCACAGCGGGGCAAGGTGGAAGGAGTTGGAGAGAGAGACCCCCTCCTCTGCTGGGGAAGCAGGGCCCAGCCTGTCTTTCGTCTCCCACCGCCCCTGCACCAGGCCTGCACAACCTTAAATTTCTGCCTTGTCTCAGTTAGGTTTGGGACATTGCTGGGCTGAACAGGGTAAGCAGACATGATATCTACAAGCTTTCGTAGACAGTCATCAAGAGAAGGTACTGTGTGGCATTTTTCCTGTTGGGCCTCAGAACACCAACACCCATTGTTGGGGGACTAGTATTCCTTGGAACACAGGCAGAGAAAAGCTGAACTGGACTTTTTTTTTTTTTTTTTACCAGTTCTTGTTATTCTAAAACTATGTTCTCTTCGATCCATTTTCCTTCCTTAACAAAAGCTGAAGTCCTCACAACCCCCACCCGCACCACATCATGTCCAAATTGCTGTCTATGGTTAAACCTTCCCTTTGCTCCATTGCTCTATTACCCAGGGCTATTTTTGTGGGGGAACATCCCAGGACAGCCATTCCAGAACCTCTTTCTCAGAATTATGTAAACCTGAACGACATTCAAGAACTTTAAGAGGTAGCTGTGGCCTGTTTAACAAAAGGCTTTTAAATTTATACCCGTGATGCTTACTACTCACATAACCAGTGTGTTTATAAATGCACTTTGATGTGTGAGGTGAGGACAATGGTTCCTACCTCGAATTCCTGCTCTTCAGCTCTTGAATCATGTAGACCGCAGCTCTGTGACAGGGGACCAGGTCACAGACTTGAGTTCCTATAGCTTAACTTCGTCTGATCATAAGCCTCAAAAGCTCTGGAAAGAAGTTTTATTAACAATATTAATAAACATTAACAATATTAATAAACATTAAGTATTATTTAGTAAGATACTGAAGGGTCAATAGGTTTGAAAAATTAACAGTTGACCCTATAAAAGTTGTTTTTAATGTGAATGGAGTGGGATCACCAAAGGCAATGCCAACCAAAACCATTTTTTAAAAATTATTGGGCCCACCTATCTGCCTCTGTGAGCTGAGATTTTATATCCATCCACAACAGCGCTCCGCCTTCTCGTGGTTTTCGTAATTTGGTTGGCAAGAAATAGGACAGTAGCTCTTAGGTGGAATATATTTGGTGTTCACGTACAATTTATGTAATATTTCTATTAATAGGGAAGAAACTTTTCCTTGTATAAACTTTATGGTTCCCTTCCCTAAGTAACTATATATTTAACATTTTCTTTTTTAAAATGCATTCTAATTACAGTTGAGTTTGAAAGTGGAATCCTTGTACCGGGTCTGCAGGGCTGTTGAGAACTTAGGAAATCACTCTAATTTGCAAAAATAGCATCTTGTACCAAATTTTTAGTTCTTTTCAACTTCCCATACCGGTGTGAGGGAGTGACTATCAAACGTGAGCATGCGCTCAGCCATGCTGCGGGAACCCCCTGGGCGCTGGAGGGTTGCCCACCTAGTCGGGCAGCCGCGGCCACCATTGGCTCTGGATTCCTAGCACCGGTGAATAACTTTGTGGAGCAGTGTCCTAGACATTATCGAAACCAGCTCTGGTTTTGTTTTTAGTAATTTCAGCTTGTGAACACTCATGTCGGTAGCTGCTCTCCCATTCGTCTCACTGCTTTTACTGTCTCTGTAAAAGAACCCCCCCCCCCCCCGCCCCTTTTAGGCTTAAGTACCACCTGAAGAGAGAAGCCTTTTCAGGCCCGGAGACTGCCCAGTGCCCTTTGTCCTCCTGTTCACCTACTAAAAGGTAGCATTGTTAACCTCATTCAGCAGGTCCCTGACTCCATATAAACACTGCTCAATAGAGCCAGAAAGACTAATTGAATTATACAATACATCATTTTTCAGCAACGGTTTCAAGTGGACTGTACTTCATTTCCCAGAACACCACCATGGTCCCTTCATTTAAGATATTTAAATATGGTATGTATTGAAGCATCATAAATCAAATATTTGAACCCAGTTTGGTCTTTCTACACTGGACCTTGAGCTGCACGAGGACAGGGCCATGCCTGTTTTATTCTCCACTAATGCCTGCTATGGGGCCTGCCACGTACCTGTGTCTCTACGCCTCAAGTGAGGCATTCTTCATCCTTGCCAATTGTTGTTTCCAGTCTGGTTAGGTAGTCAGAGGTTTTGGCTAATTCTAGGGCCTCTTTGTGAGCTCATTTGCAGAGACTGTAAACTTCACCACCTTTGTAACTGCAGGGCCCCAAAGGATCACACAACAGGTACCTCAAAAATAACTGCTAATAAGGGGGGAAAAACACTCTTATTGGGGGGAAAAACATTGATGCCTTTTTTTTTTAATCTCTAAGGAATGGAAACCTTTGTGTAAGCTTTATTTTATATTACAAAATATTAAATTTCATAAATGTGCTTTAATCAATATACAGTAGCCATATCACCTGTTCATATTGGTGGGTTTTCTTGGTTGTATCTGCTTGTGCTACTCTCAGTGCCATCCTTGCCCCATCAAGTGAATTTCTGTGTATCTTTCTAGACCTTGACACAGCGTGGCCTGCTTTGCCAGCGCGTCCCTCTCCCCTTCCCCCACAGTTGATTTCTCCTTCCTTGAAGCTACCAGTGGACCTCATCCATGTTTCTTTTGTAGTAGAGGACAGGCTACATGCGACATGTTGTTCTTGTTTTAAATATTTATCCCCAGGGCTCCTAGGTGGCTCAGTCGTTGGTTAAGTGTCCGTCTTTGGATCAGGTCATGATCTCACACTTTGTGAGTTCAATCTCCATGTCGGGCTCTGTGCTGATAGCACAGATAGCCCTCTCTCTGCCCCTACTCCTCTCTCTTTCAAAAATAAGTAAAACATTTTAAAAGTAAATATTTATTCTCTTATACTACATAGTGAGTCCCTTGAGAGTAACGACTGTATCCTATTTACCTTCATTAATAAACTTATAGTCTGGAATATAAAGCAGAGTGGATTTTCAGTTTTCTTTTTAATAAGCAAAATTGTTGCTTACTAAATGTTGATTTTAATAATGTTAAATTCAAATGCTTAATGTTAATGTTAAATTAGATGTTGCTAATGTTGAATTCTAACCTTATTCCCAGTACTAGAGCAGTTTTGCTGAAAACTTTTTAGAGAGGTTTTACCTTCCCAACTAGAAGCTAGCCCAACTCTACAAATCACTAGCCACTCCATATCTCAATATCAGCAAATTGGTATGTAAAGATTCCCCCAAATTACGTACTTGTTATCCATTACTTAAGCTCCTCCCTTTGTATCTCAGATGCATTGTGTTTCTACTCTAATGACAACGACATTTTAAAATCAACTTTAAGAGTCTTGCTGTTTACCACCAGAATTGGATATAGAATTGGAAGGATATATTAGCCAGTCAGCCCAAGCTCAAAGTTATTCTAAGACCAACTCCTTTCTCCTCACTAAAGTGTTTTTTGAGCTTTTTTTCTATGCAAATTATCCTGCATATAATATCCTTTAAAGCTATCCTTTTTATTCCTTTTGAATTTTATGTATATGATTTACCTATTTTTTTAAACAGCTACTTACAAAAATGGTATAGAATATACATGTATACAGTTTTTAAAATTAAGACTGTTTAGAATCTTTTCTTTTTAATTTTTGAGATGATTATAGATTCCCAGGAAGTTACGTAGATAGTAAAGAGAGGTCCCATGTACCTTTCACCCAATTTCTCCCATTGGTTACATCGGAGATCCCTGTGGTACAATATCAGAACACTAGGAAGCAGGCATGGTATCCTGGGTCTGTATAGTTCTGTGTCATTTTATCTCATGTAGATTCTTGCAATTGCCACCATATTCAAGATACAGAATTAATGAGTTCCTGTCAATGCCACGGTTACTTCTACAGGTTTCTGGAAAAGAGAAAGAAAGCCACAATTTATATTAATTAAGTTATAGGCTTTTGTTCTTGGCTCACTCAGAAAGTAATGTGACTTTGCTATTTCAACTCTGGCTCTTAGTTTGAGGAGATGTGGAAGGCTGGATGATTCGCCAGACTGACTGAGGAAGTTTATCTTGTAGGTGTCTAAGCAGGCCAAAGAGTTTCTGGAGTACGTGTATGAAGAGCCCCTGATCGACATCCAGCAGGAGAACCCGATGCTGTACCACCACGCTGAGCCGCTGGCCACCGTGGTGCGGCTGCGGCAGCGGCTGAAATCGCTGCGAGCCTATTTGTTCAGCTGCCGGGCCGCTGTGGCCGAGGATCTGCGCCGCAGGTAGGTCACAGACGTCTTCGGGCGGCTCCAGTTTGTTTTCCTCTCCCCCTGGGAGGGCGGTTAGAGGACCTCCCTGGCCTTTCCAGGGTGCACCGTCTCCTGTGGCTCTCCCTCTGGGCTCACCTTTGACGTTTTTCCTCCAAAGTCCTCTGTCCAGTTGAGCCAAGAAAAATGAAAGTAATATCTCAGCGTAACTGAAGGCTTTGCAGCCAGGGAACTAGTCCCCAAACAGTGAAGACTTCTCCCACCCATAGACTAACTGGAGGGGTTGATGACAGGAGTGTCTTCATGGATCACTTATGTAGTGCTTTACACCTTTCCTGGTCTCATTTGTGAAATGAGCCTGTTTGAACTATTCCATCATTTAAAGACATTTTTCAGTGGTTATTCACATCTTACTTTCTCCATCCAGAAACAGGCTTGGTAAGTGATGCATGGGGTAGAGGCCGGGCTTAAGATGAACCGGCCCAGGGTTCTGCCTTTTCATGTTACCATTTATGAGGGCTGTTTTTCCATAGCTCAATTATGTCCGAGTTCACAGAGCACACAAGTCCGTTCCAGGTTCAGATCTTCAAAATAAAACTGAAGTTAAAATGTGCCTGCTCTCATCAAATTCCTTCTTTTACAGTTAGATTTTATTGGCATTTCAAGTCTCACCCTTGGCATATATGAACTAGCTTACACTTGAAATAATTGTTGATGGTATTCGTAGGTCTGTGTAAAGATCTTTTAATGTTTTAATGGAAATGACCGAAAGCATACCTTAGTCATGGTTTCTGGAGGGGAGCCGACATGCAAAAGAACTTTCAGAAAGTATTAAAGTGATACAGTTTGTTATTTGAGATCTAGTTAGGCCCAAAGAAACTGACGTGACCCCAGGCGTCTGAAGAAGACATTTTAAAAAGAACTAAACATAGATAATGAGGAATATATAATATCATAATATCTAGACAAGCCCTCATAAAATAATCATGGAAAGGCCGTGGCCATAAAGCAAAACACTTCTCAGTGGCAATCATTCTATTACCTAGTTGTTTTTCAGAAAGCACTAGAAAAAGGCCAGGACTTATTTGTATAAAGTCTAGGCAGATCTAAATTTGAAAAGATCAGGGCTTTCCCTGAAAAGCAACAGGATTGTAGCCCTTGAACTGACTTACCAACTATACTAGATAGAAGATTTGTAATGTTCAAAGTATGTTTGTTCTATCATTTTTGCTTTTGGCTTGGTTCAGAGCTAGTTTTTCTTTGCCTGTATTTTTAGACAATACTAAAGTCTACACATGGGAATCATGATAGATGCCTTTCTGGGACAATGCTTTGCTTTGGATAAATATGCCACATCAGGGCATACATTTAGAAATTAAATGGATTCTCTCTTCATTTGGATGACCAAGGATACCTTTGCTGTTCCCACAGTCACTGGTGGTATACTGCCATGTCCTACACCTTATGGCCAGGCCACCAGGAAAGGAATAGAAGTTCTAGAAAGAAGGCATTCCCAGGGCTGTGAGAATGAAGACAACAGCCTTTTTTCCTTTCCCTTCGTTTTTCCTCACTTGTCCATGACCAGTATGTAGTGCAATTGCTGGCACAAGATAGGTGCTTAGTAAGGACTGATGGATAGATGGAAGGAGAGAGGGATAGACAGATATCTACTCTGCTGTCACTTTAAACTGCTGAACAATGGCTAGCAGCCCAATTTTGAGGACGGAGTTAATCTTCTGATTTTATTTCTTCCTTAAGTGTCCTTTAGCACAGTGTCTGGCCCATCTGAAACCCTCAAAAATCATTGTTGAACGAATGAGCACATGGACTAAAAAACAGAACAAAGTAAAAAAAAAAAAAAATTAGTTGGTTTTGTTTTGGAGATAAGTTTCAAATCTTTCCTCTCCATTTCACTTCCAATGTGCCAACCTGGTTTGGAGTCTAAGGATGTTATACTCTCCCTCTCTCACTGAACTTTGGCATCAGGCAAATTATTAAGTACAAGTATGGAGTTCAAGATCTGTGCAAATCTAGTCCAGTATATTGTTCTACTCTCAAATATTCTGTACTTCAAGCAAGATTTAACTCTTTAATGCATTCTATTGTGGGAATTAAATTGGTTTTCCCAACTGAAGTGCTTATAATAGTGCATATGCATAGTAAGCCCTCCATAAATACTATTATTAATACTGTTGTAACTATACTAGAATGTTCTTTTCTCTGGCTTTAGGAATCTTTATTTAAAGGTTCCACTTCAAAGCCACCCCTGATGCCCTGTCTACCTGACTTGGCCCCTCCTGCTCCTATGTCAGGAGGGGAGTGAGCCAGAGGAGGTGGTTTGGAGTGCTGACCCTGGGCCTGGGACCGAGGTTCCTGGTTGTGTGATGTATACTTAGTCCTGCAGCTGAACGAGTGGAGTAGGAGGTTCCCTGAGACCAAAGAATGAGATTCCTACGGAACCCTAGAGGAGGCATGGTGATTTTTCTCTTTAAAATTTTGTTCTTCGTTTTGCTGTGTGTAGATGCTATTAAGATAACGTTTGGGGTTACTATGTCTTCCCACCCTGGCACAGAGGAAAGCATACTGGCAACAGGCAGTACTTCTAGCTTTGGGGAGTGGGCGTTGTTATGGGGAGCTGGTCTGTTTTTATTTTGAAGTAAGACCATTTAGTGAAGTGGGTCTAAGATGCTCTGGGCTGCTGGTACTCCTCATGGCAGGGCCTTACTCAGTGTCAGCTCTGCCTTCTTCAAGGATGCACTGAATAACCATCACCCACCTAATATACCAAAACTCCTGTCTCCAGAGGCCATCGCTCACCTACCTTTTACCTTTATAAGGAATCTGACGTTTAAAAACAAAATTAGCCAGCCCTGCAACTTTGATTAGCGACAATAAACTTATCCACAAGTAATGTGCAAAGTTCCCTTTGTTTTACTTGGAGACATAACATTTAAAGTGGGATTTAAACTTAAGAACCTACTGGACACAGCTAACCTTATACAATCTTGATAGGAACTAATGGAAGGAGGAGTTGATGTGCAGTAGGGGAACAAAAGAGAGCAAGGGAAGCCAGTTGTTATCCAGTTGTATAAGGCATTCTCTCCCTGCCTGGTCTTTACCTCTGTACAGGGGTAGCCATTAATCTCCCGCAAGTAGGCCCAACTTGCTGAAGACCTGTCAACGCCATATAAACAGAAGAAAGCAAACTGTTAATATTGCTGTCGTGAGAAAACTGAAAACAGACTGATTAATCGTATTGGCGCTCCTCCCTGCCCCCCGCCAAGGAGCCGACTTGGGCCGTCCCCTTATTAGGCAAGTCACAGTTTGCTTTTAGGCCTTTCATTCTGATGACCCCCTGGTCTTCATCCTCAGGGTTCTTGTTATTGCTGTTAAGTGAATGCCTTGTTCTTGAACCCATACCGCAAATCTTGACTGGCAAGGATGATTGGTTTAGAAAAAGTCAGTGTCTTCCATGAAGTCTAAAATGTTTACAGTGCTGACAGTTCACTGTTTCTGAGGATTCCCAGATGGTGACCCTGTTGGATTGGGTCAAGGCCTAGTTAACTTTTCATGAGAAGAATTGTTTATAGCGTCCACACATGAAGGTACACGAAGAACTCTCTGAAAAATCTTCGCACTGTGAGGACACAGCCACGTCAGCAGCCATAGGGAAGTCTCTGGGTGGGACCCTAAAAACTAGTAGAGGGTGTCAGCCCCATGTATCCCGCTGAACACAGGGACACTAGGATGTGTGTGTGAGAGTCACCTGTCACAAATGAGGATCTCAGGGCCAAATTCGGCCCGCCTTTCAGGGATGGTCCCCTTGTCTTTTAAAGTTGTGGAGCAGTTGCTAACATCTAAACAACCAGGAGTTTTCATGTACACACAACAGAGCTCTCTGGTTTCTCTGAGGAAATCAGAAGCTCTGATTACATACGGCTTCCGTCACTCCTGTGTGATCCTGGGCTCCCCATTTGCAGAGTCTCTGCTACCCCTGCTCTCCTCAAACCAGGGTCATTCAGTGCAGAATACGTTGCAGCCATTTCATTATCCCCAGGCCACTTCATTTACTTATAGTGGTACCCGGGCCCATGTTAGATAATCATGGTTTTGTCAATTAAAAAATGCTTTCCCATAAATATATTAGTTGTTCTTTACAACAGTCCTTTTAGATGGGAAACAGATGGTAGTTAGAAAGAGGAGAAAGACGGGTGACTCTGAGAGGCTACGTGACTTGCCTGAGGTGACAGAGCTGGTGAGCAGCAGAGTCCCCGCTTTAGAACCGGATCACTGCTTCTCTCCCCGGCACGTTTGCTGGTGGTGGCGGTGATGGCCAGACGTCTCGAGACTCTAAAGAGGAACCACTTTTAATTCTCCGAAAGCCTTGACTGAGATCGTGTAGAAGAGTGGGAAGGCAGGCAGGCAGCAGACGGTGACGTCCGGGAAGGTGGGGTTGCTGATGCAGGCAGCCCTGTGCTCGCTGTTGCTCAGTCAGCCTCGGAGGACAAGCCATGACAGCCGCCTTAGTGCTAATGAGTGCATTTTCCCTAGGGCGGCATTTACCACACCTTCCCATTTCACAGACCTGTACATTTAAAACAAAAATATGGAGATATCTGTAAGGTTGCCTTCCATATATATCTTTAACCAAAGCAAACTTAAACATTGCCACCTATTTCTCACCATCGTTTCAGAAAGGAACATAGTAACACTAACAACAACAACAACAACAACAAAAATAGGCAAATGGTCTCAGAAATCAAAAATCAAATCGATTTTAAAATTCATTCTATTCTCTTTTTCTCATTTTACCTTGGACTGCTGAGAACATCATCAGACTGATAACAGCTGTTTGGACTAGCTTTTCAGAATCTGACTAAAGTTCCATTTTTTTTTTCTTCTGAGTGTTAAAGTATATCATTCAGTCTAGGGAAATTATTCTAGAAATTAATGTGGATATTTGAGTCTTTCTGACTATCATGGAAATGTGATTTGGGGACTTGGGATACCTGGTG